TCGCTGTGATCTCATTGGCTTACGGCCACTTGGTGCCGACAATGCTGCAAACTCATTGGTCTGTGGCTGTTGTATGATGTGTCGGCCTCTGAAAGCACACGTCCAGGGCCTTAACTGTACAGGGCCCTGGGCTCAACTGCCCATCGAGGCTGCAACTTCCGGAAAGAGCGTGGAGAGGCTCATGTTGCTCTGTAACCAACTGGCACTTGTGGTGCAACTGTCTGATACCCACATATGGAAAATGTCAAATCTTGGCCTCTTGTGAATATTCAGGCCGGCCTTCACTTAGGGCGGGCACAGGGCTTGCTGAGGGCCTCTGCCCAGAACATGTGCATGTCTGTTAAGGGCCCCGTGAGGGCTCATTCCCCGCACATATACGATCCCTTTAGGGTGATCACACTGGCCTGTACCCAGGCCTTGGCACATATTGGCAGGCCCGCCTTCACTTAGGGCGGGCAAGGCCTTTCCCAGCACTGCCGAGGGGTCAAACCCTCGCAATATATGGTCATTCCTTAGCCAACAGGAAGAGGATGGCACCCGAAGCCCAAGTTGGCGTAGAGGGTGTGGTTCAGACACCATACGGACCCAAGTGAAGAATGATAGTTTACATGTGAGGAGCTGGTGCAGTTGGCACCCCACGTCATGACAGGGTATGAGAGGACTCTCAAAGGAGAGCAGCAGAAGGGGAATGAAGGGCATCTCAAAGAACAGGGTATGAGAGGACTCTCAGGGGAAAGCAGAAGAAGGATTTTTAGACGAATTTTTGCTCCTTTCTAAATTGTGCGTGACATGGTAGACTCTCAGTTGAGCTTCTTTCTGAAAAAATCTGGTGCCTGTGGGCGAAGCCACGCTTGCCAATGCCGTTTTTTCATACCGATGAGATGTTGGGAAAGAAAAAAGGAAAAAAAAGAGATGTTGTATTGAGATCACACTCATGCTTGTAGAAGAAGCCGTGATCATTGGACTGCATTCCCCAGAAGCCAAAAAAGTGCCAACTATTTGTTGTCGAGGTGTTCTTTGGATCAGGTTTGCATTGGTCGGAGACAACAGTTAGCATCCAATCTTATGACAGTTCTCTTCACGGTGTTGTGGTGGTGATTTGGCAGTGAGGATGCACAGACGGTCATACAAGAACAGATCCTTCAGTGCATTGAAGCATATCGGGGCCTTTCCATGACTCTCCAAAACCATCCCCAAGATGGTGGAAATGAGTCTAAGGGTGCGAAGTTCCTCATGTTTGTTTTGGAAGGAACAATACCTATCACCTACCAAGGTGGACATTACAATATACCTGTAAGTGTCCTCTCAGGGCCCATTTTCACACCTCTCCGCTCCCCTGCATCTGCAGCATTCAAAATGTGGTAACTGGAGAGCAGGCATCTTCTACGAAAAAAAAAAGGTTGCCTGCTGATACATTGGCATAGTATTTGCAGATTCTGAAACCAAAGCCATGTGTGTTCATTGGAATAGCATTTGCTGGCTCTCAGGGCCCTTGGCAGAAACCTTGCGCGCCATGTGTGTTCAAGGTATTGATGATTCACAGTTTTATGCAATGCGCATGGAGTATCACACTTCACTGCGCTCTTCATCGTTGCAATGGCCAAAATATTCATTTGCCGGCCTAGCTCAGTTGGTTGAGCACATCATCCACGTCATCCAAGCGTCATTCATTTGCCGGCCTAGCTCTTCATTGTTGCAACGGCCAAAGTAGTATTCATTTGCCAGCCTAGCACAGGTTATCCTATTCAGGAGGTCGTGGGTTGGGTTTCCCACGTCATCCACTTGGCTCCCCACGGCCCCTGTGGTGCACTTCGGGTTCACCACCTGAGATAGTTGGCTCACCCTTTCTAGTGGGTATTGGTAGGGTCTGTTGGGAACCCCTTCCAACCACGCCGGGGGTTAGACTCAACCCTAAGGGAATAGCTTCAACCCTGAGGGGATAGGTAGGCCGGGAGAGTTTCGGAAGTAGTTGGTAGCCATTCAGCACACAACCCCTAGTATCTTATTCCCAGCTGTTAGTATATATATAAGGGTTGCTTCCTGCCGCAGCACTTGCTGTTAGGCCTTAGCTGTCCCTTGTCGGATTTGTGGGTAGACTTGTGCATCAAAATGGGAGATCACCAGTAGCTACTGCGATGTGAAAAATTGAGGATAAGAGAATAGCGTAGTAAATTCAGCTGTCCACCATATGAGGAGAAGACAACTTTCAAAAAAAAAAAAAAAAAAAAACACTCTTTAACTCTCTTTTCAAAGTTGTCTTCCCTTGCAGTACTTCTTCCCTATCAGTCCCTTCTACGTCTTCAGCATTGCACGAGACTTGCCACCTGAATGGGGCTGCATTCCCAAACAACCCGTTTTTTTTTTTTTTTTTTTTTTTTTTTAAATGCATGTCATCCCTGTGCAGGGTCCATTCCTTTTTTTTTTTTTTTTTTAAGGTCCATTCCTAGGCTACCAGAGTGGCCCGGGTCCACTTGCCCGGCCGGGCCAAAAAGAAATAAAAAATAAAAAAATAAAGATTATTTTTTAATTTAGATTTTTATTTTAAATTTGGTAAAGAATTTCGATGTGACCCTGACGCAAAAGTTGTTCAGTTTATTTTTCTGCATAACATAGTTTTTTTTCCGGATTTGTTGGAGGGTTTTTTTTTTTTTTTTTGGCTGGGACCTTCCCTGGTGCTTGCGCGGCCGGGCCGCCCGGGAAAATAGGGTGACCCGGGCGGCCCGGCTGGTAGCCTAGGTCCATTCCAATTTTTCTCTGTATCATTCCAATTTTTGTAATGAACCCGGTCTCGTTGAGAAGCCAGTCAGTAATGCCATACAAGTCTGAACCCAGTGAACATCATGTAGTCTCCGTAGTCGATCATGAGTCCATGTCCCAATTATATGCACAATTCAGAAGCATCGTCTCATCAAAGAAGAGCATGAGGGAAGGAGGCAGAGGAGAGTAAAGACAGAAAAGGGCAGGAGGAGAGTCTCGATTGCAAGGAAAATAAGCAACAGCGAGATGACAAATCCAGATTACACCATCACATAAAAAGCCAGATAGTCACACTGTGTCCAGAGAGCAGCATTGCACCAATAATACACCAATGGAGGTTYGTMGKACTGAAAACCAATGTCATGGAGAGCTTTCTCTCTCCTTCAGCAACACAAGAGTCCAGTCCCTTCACACTCCTACTTGGCGCTCAGCGCCCAGCCTACTCCTACACAGCTACGATCAGCCTAATAATAGACAATGCAACTGTTGACATCAGCGGCAACCCGAAGTACTTGAAGATGTCGCCCATATGCTGACCATCGCCAATACAAGGTAAGTGCCCTGACATTATCATCATCATCGTCCTTCGCCCTTCCCTGACTTAACACCCACACCTGTCCTCTCTTGCACCCGAGGACCACCCCTGCGCCTCACTGTGTATCCAAGCCCAGCCCGCAATGGAGGCTGGCTATGGCGCTGCCCTCAGCAGCGCCCTGCTCCCACACACGACCGCACGTGCGCAGCCTCTTGCTCCAATGCCGGCAGCCAGCCCGCGAGCAATCACTCCAGCAGCGCTGCTGCCAGCCAGCAAGTGACCGAATGAGACTGCCAGCGGAGAGAGCTGGCCTGCTTGCCCCGCCTGGCTGCCCTGGCCTGGGCCCAGAAGCTTCCGGAAGGCCCCAGGAGGCTGCCTGTGTACAGCAGCTACTGGGCTGCTGGGCCTCGTTCGGTTGGGCGCCCAACTGTCTCTGTATGAGGCTGCGAATCACGCCCAGGGCCTGCATTCTTTCGAATAGCCCGGAGGGCTGTGGAAATGTCTTTGTTGCCCGGCCTGAGTTTCTCTCAACCAACTGGCGCGTCGCAACTGCCTGGACCCCAAATATGAAATTGACAGTCAAGGGCCTCTTGCGATATGTCAGGCCCACCTTCACTTAGGGCGGGCACCTCCGCCTTCACTTAGGGCGGGCCATGCTGCAAATAGGGCCCCTTAGGCCTACCGAGAACCCTGATCCTCGCACAATAATAATCAATAATACATGTATGTCTCTCTCTCTTCCCATTTCCACTTCCGGCTTCTCCCCTATCACCACCTCAGCAATGCATGTTCTCCTCTGATGTCCTCTGACATAATCACTGTGCAGATCATAACAGGGTGCCCATCCTCCTTCCACATCAGCAATAAGATATGGAGAAGAGCACAGCACTTCCTCACCTTCGTGGAGACCAGCAGATCACACGTGTCGACGCCAGGTAAGTCCAGGTAAGTCCAGTAAGCTTCCCTCATCTCCCATCAACCTCACAACCCTGATCCTCCTGCTCGCCAATCCTCACCACCTAGTGTACAGCTCTGGCGGCTATGGCTGCACAAACATAATCTCCCGCTAGGCTGGCGCCCTCCAGCAGCATCTGGCGCCAGCATCACACTCCAGCAGCCTCATGTAGTAGCACTAACATCAAGCCAGGGCAAGGCAGAATGCCTTCCCAGTGGTCTGTCTGATATTCTGTAGCATTGACCAGTGTTGACTGTCGTGGACTAGTCTTCCCGTTAACTGTGTCGATGCTTCAGATTTGTCAGATCTTGACGGACTGGATGCAGCCTTGAAGCAGCGGTACCTTTTCCCAGTCGTGACTGGAATCTTCTGGATACCTGCAAACAACCATTGATGTGCATCTGATCTATGGCCGAGGCTGACTACTGGATTGACTTTGACTTTGGGCCTGCTTTTCCCGTGCTAGTTCTGAATCTTGATTTTCCAAGAGTCAACTACCTCACGTGGGGTTTTGACTTTGGGCCTGCTTTTCCCGTGCTAGTTCTGAATCTTGATTTTCCAAGAGTCAACTACCTCACGTGGGGCATTTGGCCGCTGCGTTTGACTCAGGCCTTGACACCCCTTGACCTTAGGCCTTCTCCTAGATATTTGTAAGACTTGGGACGTGACTTTTGACCCTTGTTTCTGGCCTTTGACCGAAAGTGACGACCCTAGCCCTCGGCTCTATGGCTATGAACCGTGGTTGCGGCACATGCAGTGCACACCCCGCGCGCCCAAGCGCCGCATAGCACACGGCGCACGGGGCACGTGCACTGCGCGTGCCGCACTCCCAAAAAATGGGGAAAAAAAAAAAAAGACTCATCTGGGCCGGTAGTAGGCCCACCCCCACCTTCGCGTAAAATATGAAAACACCATGGAAAAAAGTTTTTCGGCCCACGGGTCGACCCGAAAAAAAAATTCGAGGAAATCTTTTTCTTTCTTTTTGTACCGGGCAGACCTCCACACCGGGACCTCCTGCTCTCCCCAGATGAATCTGGGCAATAAGTGCGGCAGATAATTTTCCCACGTTGAGGATACAAAAGGCCACTTCCGCGTGAGAGGTGGCCTGAAACGTGACAGCGCAAACTGAACTTGCTCCATATAAGGGCCTCGCTCCACTGCTCACCCCACATGGCATTGCACAAAAGAACAAATAGTATGGAGGTGTATCTTTCCATGTTCTAGTGGACATTTCATTCTCATTTTTGCACATGTGGTGAGTAGTGGAACGTGGCCCTAAAGTTTTGAGTATGGCCCTCGATCCACATTCACCAAATGTGCAAATTGAGAATGAATCTTCTGCTAGAACATGGAAAGATACACCGCCATATTTTTTGTCTGTCGTGTGTGTTGCCCTATCTCCTGACACATGATATAGATTGACGCAGTGCCCTGATCCAACGTTCACGTCTCCAGACACCCTTTTTCTTTTTGCCTATTTTGGACCCTAATCTTTTTTGGATTGTTCCAATTTTAACGAGTATCCTGCGGAGAAGTGACTGTTACTTTGAAAAAAAAAAAAAAAAAAGAGGAAGTGCCCGTTGCATCAGAGGTTGGGCCTTGTATCGTTTGACCGCCCCTCATGATGACTGCATCCGACTTGAAGGATGCTTGTGTACATTTGAAAACAACGAAACAAACCCTCATCATTCACGAGCGTATACACACATCTTTCAAGTCAGATATAGTCATCATGAAGAGTCCTGAGAGCACCTCAAAAGATGCTTACAGGGCCTCGCTCGAAGAGGCCTGAACAAGATCACTAGGAAAAGCTCAGAGCCCTTGCCTAGGATCAAGGACTTGTTGGACAAGGTCCAAGGCTGCAAAGTCTTCAGCGAAATTGATATGAAAACCTGGTATCGTCAGATCGAAATGGCTGAAGAGGATGTGCTTTAAACCTGTTACAACACCTACGAGTTCCTGGTCATGCCCTTGTTTTATGTAATGCACTTGGAACCTTTCAAATTCAAATGAATAAAACTTTTAGACCTTCTTTGGACAAGTTTG